TTTTATATTGTCTTGATTTATACGTTGCCTCGTATTATCTATGGCACGTAGCACCAGCAAGTTTATGAGCCATTCTAGTTAATATACATGCCCCAACCCCCTCTGATGTAAACCCTTCATAATTGCCCTCATATAAACTTGCATGCTAGTACTACATGCAAATAGATAATACGAGGCAATGTATAAAAAGACAAATTCAATTTAAATAAACAATATAAAATATTATTGAATAATGACTATTAAAATGGCCAAGCCCGATCGATTCCTGTGTCTTTGGGAATTACAAAAGCGAACACATTTTTAGGATTCATTATAATACAGGGTGTATCAAAAAAAACGCAACCTCGGAATTTCCCAAGAAATCGACATTGTTTTAAAGACAAAAGATTTTAGGCGCCCGGGAATTTAAAATAGCACAACTGTCAAAAGTACTGCACACGCGAGTGCATAAAGCAAAATTTATGCATTTATTTAATGCACAACAACAGTAATATGATCTATTAGCAATGCGATTTCAATTCCCAGGGGCCTAAAATCTTTTATGCTTAAGAATTGCAAAGTGATTTCTTAGGAAATTCCGAGGTTGCGTTTTTTTTTTTATACATTCTGTACATACCATTCTTTAATCGCATGAGCTTCATGCATCAACAGCCAAAGCACAAACCATTTTGCTATACGTACAATTTGTTGAAGCATTCGTTTCCATCGTTCGGTCTTCAACAATGACTCTGCATATAATACAGTCAGAATATTTCCATTCTTCCAATGCCTTCGCTTCTTTATCGCTCTCGATTCAACTTAATAATGACACAGCACTGACTCCTAGATCGTGTAGTTTTTTGACTTGATCTCGTATTGAATTTATCAACCGAAACCACGATTACTAAATGTTTACAATGTTTACAATTTGTTTAAATATTTAAATCCGAATATTACATCGAATAGCTTCGGTAACGGCGTGATAAATAAGGGATTTCCTGCGTCAGTTGTAAGATTTACGACAACATCCTTTTCGTTTATAATAGACTGAAAAGCCTTTTTCTAATGCGCAGTGTTAAAACTTTCAAATTTAAAAATACTACAGACTTGTTGATATAGCCCATGCGTGTGAAGGTCATTGAAGGCCGATCTTCCAATTATCGTGTAGATGATTGTGATTGGTTAATTGCCGGAAAGTCAAATGTATAGCGAATGTGAGCAGACGTTAGGTGAGGCCTCGGCCACTAACAACGTCTGCGCAGGAGGCTAGGTATGCCCTTGAGTGTTCTAAATCGTCCTCGAAAAGTGAAAAGCAACATTTCAAATCAAAAACATTGTGTAAATAGAAATAATCTGATACAGATTCAAACCAAGAGAGCCATTCCTGGGACTCAGGCACATAACCGCTTACCAACCTTTAGCTGTTTACCAACATTCTTTCACTCCAACGTAAGATCCTTAAATGCTAAGATTGATGATTTGCAAACTGTCACCCAACAAAATAACGTAGATATAATCGCCATAACAGAAACTTGGTTAAATTCTAGAATCACCGATGATCCAATATCCCTCCCAGGCTACTCTATTGTTCGAAATGATCAAACGGGGCGGAGGAGTGGAAAATGGCAAACGGGGCGGAGGAGTGTGCGCTTTAATTAAGTCCAATATACCCTTTTCCACCCTTTCTAATTTTAGTGTCCCCGACGTCGAAGGTGTGTGGTTAAAACTCAGACCTTACCGACTACCTCGCGAACTATCCTGCATCTTTGTTGGCGTGATTTACCATCCACCACTAGCAGACAACAATATCCTGCAAGATTACCTTATTTCCACGGTAGATAAATTATTATTAGAGCATCCTAACGCAGGAATTATGATATTGGGTGATTTTAATCATTTTGACTACAAAACATTATGCCGCCATTCCTTCTTGAAACAAACTGTTAAGAAACCTACCAGGCAATCAGCCATTTTAGATTTGATCTTAACCAATATGCACAAGTGGTACAACGAACCTGAAATCTTACCAGCAATTGGCTTGTCTGACCACCTGTCCGTTCTTGCTACTCCTGCTGTTCAAGCTAAACTACCCAATAATATTATTAAGAAAACTGTACGTAAAACAAAACCGTCTAGCATAACATCACTTGGAAAATTCGTCAAGTCATTGGACTGGAGTCACCTTTACCGCTTACCTTCTTGCCAAGATAAATGCGACCTTTTCTACAACCTACTTATGTTAGGACTAGATACCTTCCTGCCAAAGGAAAAGGTTAAAGTTCATTGTAGGGATAAACCATGGATCACTCCGGATTAAAAAAAGCTTATATCAGACAGACAACATGCATTAGCTGCAGGAAATCGTAATTTGTATAATCAACGTAGAAATGATGTCCGCAGAGCAATAAAACAAGCAAAACCTTCCTATTTTCAAACTCAGGTTAAACATCTTAAAACCGCTGATCCATCGAAATGGTGGAAAGCCGTAAAAAATCTGGCAGGCTACACTTCAGATAAGTCCTTTCATTCTGTGATCAATGACAACCGAATATTAGAAGGTAAAAACCTAGCAAACGCTATCAATGAATCATTTGTTGCTGTTAACAAGTCTATGCCTCCTCTTTCCGAATTCGATAAACAATTCCTTATAGCGCCTTGCGAATACCACATCCCAGTAGAACTAATTGAACGTCGCTTAGAAAAAGTTAAAATATCAAAAGCGCCAGGCCCTGATAGTATACCTAATTGGCTACTAAAAGAATTCTCGGCTGAACTTGCTACACCAGTGGCATCTATCTTTAATGCCTCCATTGCCCAAGCTCAAGTACCTTCACAATGGAAAGCGGCTGACATTATCCCTATTCCAAAGACCCACCCAGTACAGGATATTAACAATGACCTCAGACCAATATCTCTCACCGCTACGTTATCTAAACTTTTAGAGTCATTTAATGCAGAATGGATCCGTGATAGCATCTGCCAGAAACTCGATCCAAAACAGTTCGGAGCAATTCCCGGCTCCTCTTCAGTTGATGCCTTAATTAGCTTACTCCACTCCCTATACGCTGACTCAGATGGAAATGGTAAAACTGCGTTTATTCCTACTGGACTTCAGCAAGGCTTTCGATCGGATTAACTATAAGATACCAATCACAAAGATGCGCAAATTGGATATAAACCCGTCCGTTATCAATTGGGTAATTGACTTTTTATCCGGAAGGAGACAGCGGATTAAAATGGGTAACGTATTTTCAGATTGGTCTGCAGTAAACGGTGGGGTACCCCAAGGAACATGAGTGCTCGGTCCTATACTCTTCTTAATTATGATAAATTACTTGGTTACTGACCATGATCGAAGGTGGAAATTTGTGGATGATACAAGTGTCTCTGAAGTTATTAATAAAGGTGAGCAAGGGAAGATGCAATCCCTTGTTAATGCGATAAACAGCTGGTGTATAAAGAATGACATGAAACTTAATCAATCTAAGTGCAAAGATATGATCATCTCGTTTGCGAAAGATCCTCCAAAACTGGACCCAATCTTCGTAAACAATCACAAACTAGTTCCTGTATCTTCAGCAAAAATCCTAGGCACTTATATTTCCACAGACTTGAAATGGAACACACACATAAACTACATTGTATCCAAGGCTTCTAAGCGCCTATATTTTTTACGCATATTAAGACGGGCTGGACTTGATCATACATCCCTTTTAACCGTCTATACTACCTGCATAAGATCAGTCCTCGAATACGGTTGCCAATTATGGAACTTTGGTGCTTCCCAATACCTTTCTGATGACGTCGAGCGGGTCCAAAAGCGAGCACTAAGAATAATTTATCCTGATCTATCTTACAGGAAGGCCTTGGAGGTTATTCCGCTTCCAAATCTTTCACAAAGACGAGATGAACTTTGCAGATCACACTTTAAAAGAATAACTAAACCAAGTCATAAATTGTACAATCTTCTCCCTGACAAACGTACTAACAATCTTAGAAATAACGACAATTTTACACACATTTGGTCTTGTACCAACCGTTTTAAAAATAGTTATATACCAAGTAGTGTAGTATCTTTTAATACCTATACGTCTTAATAAACTATATAATATATAATCATATCTTAATTATTAGTCTTTAACTTGTAATTTTATAAACTGTATTTTTAGAACATTAATGTAAACCGAGCAATTCAGCTTTGTAGCTGCAAATCGTTTTTTTTGTATAATAATAATAATAATAATAATAATAATAATAATAATAATAATAATAATAATAATAATAATAATAATAATAATAATAATAATAATAATAATAATAATAATAATAATCATTACGTCATGCATAATTCATCGCGATAATGTCAATTATTTTCTACACACTCCCCCCTTGATTGACCAAGGTCAATCAACTGTCCATTGTCATTAATCAATAAATGTCAACACAATGTCTCGTAGCTTAATTAACAGATCAATGTTTACAATTAAGTATTAAAGTTTTGTATTGTATTAGGCACATTGTCTCGAACGAACTTTATCTGTGGAACAGTCTCTGGGTTTTTCGTAGGAATTTCTATTGGATACAATCGTTGAATCGGTCTTTGTAGTTGCTGCACTCGACCTCCAGACGATGTTCTAATAGTTGCTGCACGTACATTCCCGTCTCGACCACGCATTAAATCATCAACTCTACCGACTTTCCATAGCTGTCGAGGAATTTTATCTTCATGAACCACAACAATGTCTCCCTGGCTGATCGAATCACCTGCTGAACCATTCTTTACTTTGTGCTGTTCTCGTAATTCCGTCAAATATTCCTTACGCCAGCGTTCCCAGAAATGATTTAATACTCGAGTCAGGAACCTCTCTCTCCTTCTTGCATCATCAACTAGGTTGTCGTTGGTTTTCTTCTCCTACGTTATTGGATTACTTAACAATCGTCGACCAACACACATGATTGAAGGCGTGAGTGGTTCGCTCATTTCTTCGTGCACGTACGTGAGTGGACGTGAATTCAGAATTCCTTCCACTTGAATTAAAACAGACTCGAATTCTTCAAAGGAAACACGAGCATTGCCGAGAGTCTTTTTCAAACATCGTTTGACACAGCGCACCAAGCGTTCAAAAAATCCACCCCACCATGGGGCACGAGCGACATTAAATTTCCAGGTGATACCATACTGCTGTATAAATTTCTTTACAGTAGAATTCGTGAAAGTCTTCCCATTGTCCGATACAAGGAAGCTATAGGTACTCCGCGTCGTCCTATGAAACGCTGTAGACTTCGAACGAAAGCTTGCGCAGAAAGATCCAGTTAGAGATGGAGTTAGTTCCAAATGAATGCCGCGTGTAGAGGCACATGTAAATAAGGCGACGTAAGCCTTGTACGTCGTCTTAGCTCGAGTGTAAACATTCTTTATACTTATACTTTATACTTATACTTTATTTAGAAATGGTAAATACATTGCAGCCATTAGCTGAATTGCGTATTATACTTACAATTAAAAATTATTAAAATTAGAGTTTTGAAATATATCAAAGTATTATAATTAATTAACTAAATTGTCAAAAGTGTCTGTTTATAATAAGCATGCAAAAGTTATTAAGAATATAAAATAAGTAAATAAAGAGTAAAACCTATTCAGTTTTGCTACTCGATGCCATAATAAAACTATTACTAAACCGATTGGTTTTACAAACTGGAACGTCAAATGATCTAATAGATCTCAGGTCGTGGATGGAGTTATACCTTGGCGGCAAGAGGTAATGTAGACTGTGATTAGAATCTTTGATAATTGCATTAAACAATTTCTTGCAGCTGTTTTGATGGTGAGTGGAAAGATGTTCAATTCCACTGAGATTTAAAGCTTCCTCATATTTCAAATGGGGATAAATAATTCCAAATACGCGTTTCTGGACTCGTTCCAAATCTTGACTTAAATACTTGGGTAGGCTGTAGTGGAAAACCGGGACAGCATAGTCCAACACAGATCTTATACAGGTTATGTAAAATGTGATTAGTTCTTGTATTGGGATTTTTGCTCTCTTAAGTTGAATAAGGAAATATATCCTTTTGGAGGCTTTCTTGACTAATTCAGTGATATGTTTATTCCACGTAAGGTTGTTGCTAATGTTAAGACCTAGCACTTTAAAATCGGATACAACTTCTATGATTTGATTCTCAATTGAAATTGGGTTAAGCTCGGGTTGATTCCGTGCACAAGAAATTCGTATCTCCTTACATTTATCAGCATTTAATTGCATTCTATTGATATTGAACCAATCTAAAATTTCATTTGCAATCAGTTGAGCTTCACTGTGATCGCCTTGCAATACAACTTCCGACGCCGTGGTATCGTCAACGTATTTCCATAAGTTCTCACTATGTTTCTTCAAATCATTAATCATTATTAAGAAGAGCCAAGGGCAAATGTGGTTGAAGAATTAGGAATAGAACCAAGTTGATTTGAGTCGATGGATTTCAGAACCGCAGGTTTGATATATCTATTTACCACACATTCTTCAGCTGCTTTGGATATGCTCGGGGTCAGTGAGATAGGTCTGAGATCTTTTTCTAAGATTTGAACTGTCTTAGATTTAGGTATAGGTAAAACATTGGCTAGTTTCCACATCGATGGAAGTCGTTGTTGCTTGAAGGAAGCATTTAAGATGGTACTAATTAATTGGGAACGCTAATATAGCTGCATAATCACGAAGAAGCCAATTTGATATTTCATCAGGACCACAAGTTTTTGTAGGGTTCAGCTTTGATAAATATGAATACACTGTTTCTTCAGTGACTACTAAAAACTCAGGGTTGTTAACTTCTAGCTCGAAAGGAAGAAGGGGGCTGGGCAGTTTATATACAGATAAGGGATCCAAGAAAGCTTCATTGATCTTGTTAGCTAATTCTTGCTCAGATAATTGTTCGAGGTTTTCAATATCTATTATATTTCTAATATCACTAGATCTAGTAGATGCCATTCCACTTAAACGCTTTACTTCTTTCCACCATTCCTTGGAATCTGTTTGTTTCATTTGATGTACCTGCAAAGTCCACTCCCAACTGCGTATAAGCGAAGTCTTCGGACACTCTAAATCGAGGTAGTGGTGGTGGCAATGGTGCTCGGTAACATTTGCCTTCAATTCGTTTGCATGTAGTACATCTGGAAATTACCTTTCGAACTTCCTGTCTTCCCTTAACTACCCAATACTTGGATCGTAATTCGACCAGTGTCTCGTTAACCCCATTGTGCATGACTCGGCTATGACATTTTCTAACGATCAGTGTTGTGATATGATGACCCCTTGGCAAAACTGCTGGATGACGTGTACAGTAAGGTAATCGAGTGAAATCCAGTCTTCCTTGCGATCTTAAAATTCCATCCTCATCTTCGAATAGTCGCAACGACCTTTTTCTTTGCTTGAAATTAGGCTCTGCTCGAAAGTATCTCTGGGCGTCTTTTATCCACAAAATTTCTGCTTTGGACAATTCGATTTCGTCTAGCTCCGAGGATGATGGTCGGTGTTCTTTCATTTTCCGCACACTTTTTACGAAGCGAACCACGTAGCAGGTGACACGAACGAGTTTCTCATAATCGCTGTAATTCTGACAATCGATTAACTCGCCAATAGTTGATTTCTCATCCTGAACCAAGGTTGTAGACACAGATTGTATTTCTTCAAATTCGGGCAATTGATCTACGAAATTATCCCCTTGAAACTTGGTATTCTTTGGCCAGCCAGACTCGTCACCTTGCAGGAAGTCCGGACCACACCATCAACTACGCATTTCTTTCAATTCCGATGCAAGTGAACCACGAGAAAGAACGTCCGCGGGATTTTGGTCGGTTGGCACATGACGCCACGATTTCGGATCAATTAACTTCCTAATTTCTACAACTCGATTTTGAATAAACAGTTTATACTCTTTTCCTGTCCCTGTAATCCACCACAGGGCAATCTCTGAATCCAACCAACAGACAACGCGATCAATCTTGTATTTTCCTTCCAGTTCACGTCGAACATGTGACATTAATCTTGCAAGCACCAGCCGTGATAACAGTTCTAGCCTCGGAATTGTTTCTCCACCTATGGGAGCGACTTTTGACTTGGATGCAACGAGTTGACACGAAACAAGCGTTCCTGTTCTGATACGAATATACACTACTCCTCCGTACGCTTTCTCCGAAGCGTCATCGAATCCGTGTAATTCTACTGATCTGATTTCCTTTCGATCAATCTGAGGGCTATAGCATCCATTCAAATCGACTGTCCAGGTTTCTTTCATATTAGTCAACGCGGATTTCCACGATTTCGCTGTCTCATCTTCGAGAACATCATCCCAGGTAATGTTCTTGTCCTTGCAAATGGCCTGAAACAGTATTTTAAGTACGGTCGTAATGGGGGACAAAAGTCCAAGAGGGTCGTACACCTTAGCGATTGAACTTAACACAATTCGTTTTGTAACTGATTCTTCTGTCAGATACATAGTCAGTCCGTCAAAACTGAATACCAACTTGTCGCTCTTTGTATTCCAGGTTATGCCGAGAACCTTTGGGAACTCTTCCTCAGGATTCGCTTGTGGTAAACCTGTCTTCGAGTAGCTCTGATCTTCTTCCCAATCCTCGCATGTCTTGGTCGCATCAGACCCTTCAATGCTGGCAATCTTCTTCCCCAATACGTCGCTGTTCGTTTGCCATTTACGCATATTAAAACCTCCGTCCTTAAATCTTTTCTTCAACTTGTCGTACAATGAATAAGCCTCGGATACACTTGAGGCTGATGATGCGAAATCATCGACATACAACGATTTGAGCACTTCTTCAACGAAATCAGGATCTATATCCTTGTAGGAATTTATGTGGTGACTGATTGTTCCGTTTAACAGAAAAGGGCTCGAGTTAACCCCAAAGACAACTCTTGTGAATCTTCTGATAACAATTTCTGGATTGTCCTTTGTTATGTCGTCTATCCAAAGAAACCGTAGAAAATCTCGATCATCTGGTGCAATTGAGACATTTAAGAATGCCTTTTCAATATCGCTTGTGATGCCAATGCTCTGCAGGCGAAATCTCAATAGAATATCAAAGATTAATGGAGTGAGAGATGGCCCTGCACACAAACAGTTATTTAAACTTGGACCGTCCTTCTTTGCAGACGCATCGTACACGACACGAAGCTTAGTTGTCTTCTTATCCGCACGTAGAACCGCTCGGTGAGGCAGGTAGTGAATCCTTCTTGGTGAATCTTTCTTAGTGAATCTTTCTTCATTAGATACTGGTTCAATAATGTTGACTTGAAGTTGTTCCTGAATGACTTGATCATACTGTCTTAACAATTCTGGATTTGACTTAAGACGTCGCACAAGACTTTCCAATCTTGTCTTACTCAACTGATAGTTGTCTGGCAGTGGTGGATGGGTTTCCTTAAAGGGCAGTCTGACTTCATATCTTTCACCATCAAATGTGATATCGTTTAAGAATTTCTCATAAACAGCTGGCTCATTCGACTTTATTCCAAGAGATTCTAAGTCCGACTCATTTGTACAGCTTTCACCTTGGACAGGACCTGATAGAACATAACCAAATTTGGTACTCAATGCAACTGGACCCGAACCAGAATCACTACGAACAACTTCCTCAGAGACTAACGACCAATAGTAATCAGCACCAATTAATAAATCGATATTCAGATCTGATGAGTGGGTTATGTCATCTGCCAACTTCAATGATTGTAAATGACTGTAATGATGTTGATGCAAATTAATGGATTGGTTACTAATGGGTGAACAGATGGTGGGCACAACGTAGGCAGTAACATAAACTCTTTCCCTACTTGGAGTCTTGATCGCTAGTTGGACAATGTCACACTTCCTCAGTTGGGCATGCTACTCGCCAAAAGTTTTTATCAACAAGGTATCACTACCACTCGAAGGGAGGCCTAAGGATTTCTGGAGTTTTTCTGTCACATAACTCCGCTGGCTACAGCTATGAAAAATCATTCTAATATTCTGTGTGCTACCAGGTGTTTCCACATGTGACACTTGAGCTCTAGCAGTTTGTAAAAGCACATTATTTTTTGTACTAACAAACATACTGGTTAATGGTGTTCCGATGGCTTCAGAATCAAATTGTGGTGTAACAACTGAGTTTGGTGGGTGGAGGGTACTTGCGGGACAAACTGGATTACCTGGGGAGTATGGAAATTGAGGTGCATGCATGTTTGTTGCTGGATAGGTTGGTACAAATGGGTTGCTGGATGATATATTTGTCTGTTGTGGTGTAAATGGAAATGCAGAGGCATTTGGTACATGTGGGGTATTGGAATGACAAGGTGGGCCAACTGGGTACTATGGGGGTTGATGTACAAGCATGTTTGTTGATGGACATAAGGGTACAAATGGAGGATTTCTTTGTTGTGGTATATTTGGGTTAATGGATTGTGGGGTGTAGGTCTTAGGCTTACTACGGGTTTCACATATGGATGTATGATGATTATTACCACAGTTATAACAGGGTTTTCCCGATTTGCAATCTCTAACTAAGTGGCCAGTTTTAAGACATTTGAAGCACTTACCCCGTCGACGCAGAATCTGCTTTCTAGCAGAGATATCGGTCACAATCGTACAGTTAGATGATGGATGGTTCCCATTACAAAATGTACACCATGGCCCTTCCCTTGATTGAACACTCTTGTTCTCTGTTAGCAAGGCAGCTGTAGATGATTGATAACGATTGATATATTTCCCTTTGTCTCTTTGACTGAAATGTTGTTCTTTCCGCTGACCAGTACCACTGACAAGGGCACATTTCTCTCGCAGTTGCAATTCTGTATTAAATATCTTGAGAAGTGGTTCTAATTTCCACTCACCAGATGGCAAATCCCTTGTAATAATAATCCTCAATTCTTCTGGAATCTTTGACATAACAACTGGAGCAAGAAATGAACCATATGTATCTGGAGAAACACCAACATTTCGTAGACTTCGAACATGCGATTCCAACTTGTCATAAATATTTCTCAGTTTCTTTACCTCACCAGTGGCGTAGCCAGCCCGACAATTCAGTCCCGCTATGCAAATTCAAAATTATTATCATTATTCATTTCTTTAGAAATTGATTGTTTTCACAGTCAATGAACACGAAAATATTTGCATAGCGGGACTAAATCGTCGGGCTGGCTACGCTACTGCACCTCACCCATTGATGTAGCTTCAGGCAATTTCAACAAGGAATCCATTTGACTAAAATAACAACTTGCTTATTCCCATATCTTTCTTTTAGTAATTTGATAGCTTCACAATAATTTTCCTTTGTAAGCGAAAATCCACTGATTGTTTCTGCTGCAGACAGGGCCGTAGCTAGCATGTATAGTTGGGGGTGTAAGGCAAAAATTTCCGAATGACGAAAACAATTTCCGAATGTTTCATGGCATATGAAGCCACGAAGGTGTTTTCTATCCGGAAGACGCAATAAATTATATAGATATTAATTAAAGCCGTTTTTATTAGGCGCACCCAGAATATCAATCTATCATAATCAGAGGCCGCAGAAGCATTTAGATTGTGTAGTGGCATTGACGAAAGGGGCATTTTTGTATATGACCAAAATCAAACGATTTTATGTCGTTAATGAGCCGAAAGAAAATTTTTGAAAATATGGAGTCTCTATAACGCCGAAAATGGCTTTTACAGAGTCTTTACTACTGCAAAAATGGCACTTTCTGTCCAGCAAAAGAGGGCGTTCATTCAATACATATTTGTTTTCGATTTTAAATAGAGCGCTATATAAAGCCCAGAAAAAGGGCCCTTTTTTCTTTAAAAAAAGGGGGGGGGGGGGCACATACCCTCATTAGAGACCTTAAGATTGACGTTTACGGCAAACGTCAAACCGCTAGCGAAGTTTTTGATTTTACAACTCTATTATTATAGCTTTTACACCAGTTTTGAAATATGTTAAACTTATTAAACTTGTGCTCTTTATCAATGATTTAAGAAAGCAAATTAACCACTAGTCATGCCATTCACCAAAGCAGTAAATTAAGATTTGGCGTTTGAAGTTGACGTTTGCCGTATAAATTTCATGCTTGAACTGCTACGAGGGCTTGTAGTCGTTAAAGCATGAAATTTATACGCCAAACGTCAACTTCAAACGCCAAATCTTAATTTACTGCTTTGGTGGATGGCATGACTAGTGGTTAATTTGCTTTCTTAAATCATTGATAAAGAGCACAAGTTTAATAAGTTTAACATATTTCAAAACTGGTGTGAAAGCTATGATAATAGAGTTGTAAAATCAAAAACTTCGCTAGCGGTTTGACGTTTGCCGTAAACGTCAATCTTAAGGTCTCTATTATCTCATTGGTAGCATCGGTTGTGAATATTGCGAATAGCGTGGTTGCGAATAATATTGTTGTTGTTGCTGTTGGGGTTGTCTTCTTCTTCTTCCACCGCCACCATAATTATTAACAGTTTGTTGTTTTGCCTTTTTACCAAAAACGCCAGGTAATATTTTTGTAGCCGCATTTAAAATAGTGGGTATAGCTAAACCTGCAGCTAAAGCTAATCCCGCACCACCACCTTTTTGTTTTTTGCCACGTTGATGTTTATTGCCCTTAAAATTCCCACCACGTTGTTTTTTACGACCCATAATCTCTCTCTCTCGTGTTAACAATGAAATAAACAAATAGTTGTATAAGCAGTTCTATTTATTTCCAAAAATATGTCGTAAAACTTCAGGAGCAATTTGCGGTGGGCCGCCACGTGTTTCGGGTAATTTTCCACAACGACGTACCTTTGGATTGGGTTTATAGTTGGGGTTTAAATGCGGCGACGGGCAAATACTATTCTGTGAACGTTCTTCAATACTTTTACCAGTTTTTGGAATATAAAGTAGATTGGTACCCGGTTGGCTTTGACCTTGACCGTGTAATAATTGATAATATTGTTTTGCGTCCATCTTTTAGCAAACGATGTTCACACTGATTTCATAATGTAACATGCAGGAATGTTTTATGGCGTTGGGAAAAGATTAAAATATAAATATAAATATTTATTATTTAACGTACCGCTATGCAGGGGTAAATTATCATTCCATAAAAAATAAAATTGTACATTTTCATTTAATTGTGCTAGATCATTTACAAATAAATATGAAGGTATTTTATGACGCATACCATTTACATTACTCGTGTTATCATCGCCATCGCCATATAATTGTATTAGTAAATGATTTTGCCACGTCATTCCTTGAATGGCAGTATTATCCATGTTTAAAGATGGCATACTTTTTTTTGCATACGTTAGTACCCCTTTAGACCAACGTCCATTTACATTTTTTTTTTCGTTATCACTCATACCACTAAAATTTAATTTTCTAGCACACCACACACTGCATTGATCAAAATTACCCATATCCGATCTTTTACAAGCCAAATTGTAATATTCATTTTCATCACTTATTAATTCAAAATACGTGGCTTTTGGGACACAATGTTCAATTCTTAAACGAATGTGTAACATGGTTAACGAATAAATGAAAATAAATTATTTCATACGATTCTTTTTATATCCTCCTCGTTAAAAAGGCTAAATTGTAATCTTACATTTGGGGCATATGCCCAGGAATACCACGGTGTAGTTAACGCCTTACTATGATTATATGTGGAAGTTTTATCCCAAGAAGCATAACTACCCCATTCGAAAAAAAAAATAACATTTGCATCCAATTGTGCTAAATCATTTACAATCAAATATGTTGGTAGTTTTTTTAAATATTTACTATTTATATTTTGTGTATTTGTTGCAAGATTACCATATATATGCGTTAATACATGCTCGGATAAATGTATATTTTCAACAATCGTTGATGGTGTCGAAGCCCGTGTATTAGTTATGGTTTCCTTACACCAGCGTCCTTGTCGAATTCGTGTTTCACCATTGGCCATATTATCAAATCGTATTTTTTTTCCACACAATATTTTTAAATGATCAAAGACACCAAAACCCCGACCTTTTTTGGAAGCTAAATTATAATACACATCCTCATTTATATTTAAATCGTTTTGAATAAATTGATAACTGACAGGATAAACCATAGTGTCGTATGAAATTTTTAACTTTATTTCCACTGTACCAACACCCATCATTCAATAATACATTCAATGCCAACACTACCACCGTTGAATTGTATTAAATTATTTTCTATATCACAGATTCTTATATGTAAATATTTTATGTGTGTATTAATTAATTCATGTGTTACTGCGGGTAAATCATGCGTGTGTAATACTTCAATCATATTATCATCATCCTGTCGTTTAAGTTGTAGTTGTGCTAATAAAGGGGCGCGAACATCTCCAACAATGGTCGGTACAACTTCGTCACAATAAATAAACATACGTGTTTTTCCATTGGTCATATCCGGTGCATATTTACCATAAAAAAACCACCATGCTTTATTTACGGTTTCATTGTTTGTATGTGCATTTCTTACTTGATTTAAAATTGCACGTATTGGTTTACCCGTTAACGTTTGATCATTTTGATCAATCGGGATGCACAACATATTCGTCTAAACCCAACATATATTTTAAATCTTTAGTCATTTCAATTGTAAAATCGCTCAACGATCTTATTTTATAGGGTGTTCTTGTAAAATTATCACCGCTAGTATAGCTGTAAAAATAATGGGGTTGTAACCCTAATGTTACACCGACACGACCTCCGGGTAACAATGAAAAATTTATACCGTATTCTTGTACCATACGATTTAAATCTTTAATTATTTTTTTAATTGTATAATAACCCTGCGGTAGAAACATCCAATCCGTTACAAAACTAATATAATCTTTCGAATATACGGCTATATCTGTAGAGGGATTCCAAAATAGTTTGTACGCTATTTTTATACCACATTTTCCATCTTCAACATTATCAATGGTTGTCGGATAAGATACATTCAAAGCACGTATAAATCGTTTTTTATTTTCACCATCAATTTGTTCGGGTAATGTCATCGTAAATTTATTATTAAAATTTTCACCACCCTCTTGATTCTTGGTATTACTATAGATTTGTACATTCATAATGGTTGCAATTCTTCGCGATAAAATATACCCGTAATTTTTTCACCGTCTTTTTCCGCTTTTAATTGATACGTCACAGGATCTGTAATTAACACTTTGTCAATTGTGAATACCTCTCGACCCCAGCGGCGTAAACTAGATTTTTCAAAAACACTATTTTTTATTCGTGCAATACGAACACGCTGATCCTTGCGTAAGAGACTTGAAGGGGGTGTGAACCATTTAAATAATTTTGTAGAATTTTAAACCCTAAAAAACGAGGGGTTTTATTATGAATATACAAATCGATAGGTTTTGCACCAAAAATACCTCGATGCGGTGATTCGTTGTATCGTTCAATAATCACGGGTAAATATTTAATAAATCGATAACCGGATAAAACGGTTAGAGTACGTCGAATCATTACTTTTAATGTTTGAATAAATCGTTCGGCATGCGATGCTTTTATTTCACGATTTTGTGTATGAAATAATTCAAAATTATATTTTAAAGCCAATTTATTTTTTATATGATTAAATTCCGTACCCTCATCAGCTTGAATTTTTCGAGGTGCCGCACCACATTCGCGAATAATTTCTTCAAATTTTATAGCGACATTATGTGCCGATTTTGTTTTTAACATTTTTACAAAAGCATATCGTGTAGCTACATCAACACACACAAGAATATAACGAAATTGATTATTATAACCAGACAGTTCATTTAAATCAGCTAAATCAATACTCCATTGTTCATTTTTTTTACTCACATGAATTTTCAAACGTTTTATAATATTTTTTTTTCTAGCATGCAGTGTATATAAGTTTTTTTGTTCACTAGTTAATGTTTCGCCTTTTAATAATCTTGCAGCTTTTTTAATTAGTTCATATTCTTTAGATATGTTCTTTTTAGCCACCATCACTATAAAATAAAAAAATTTTACTTATTTACATCATATTTAAATTAAATTTCTGCACACAATGATATGCATAATTAATTTTTTTTTCATGCATTTTTACAAAGGGTATATAATGATCATAATTATACATTATTTTTAAATCCTCGTGATGTTTCATAACAGTTTCAACTGCTGAATTTGCACGACTCATATACGTAATGATGGTTGCAATGACCTGGTTTTGCTATAAAAAAACAATTACGAAATTGTTTTAACAACATTTTCTAAACTATTTGCAAACGAACCAACCCTACAGAAATCGTCATATGGGAACGCAAATCTTTCATTCATTTCACTTCGAAATTGCCTAACCGTTTCATCGCAACTTTTATGATATTTTGACATGTATTCTAACAAAATAATTATTCCGGTTTTAATTTGGCACCTACGAGGCAAACAACTTTTTCTCACCTCACTAGTTTCTTCGTCAGTCGGTGTAACAATTTTAACTTTCTGCTTCTTCCCCGTTCCACCACCCTTGGTTGTAGTGTATTTGCGCTTTTTTGGCGGTTCTACTTCTTTTTGTTCCACACCACTAGGAGGACCACTGGGTTTCTTTGTTGACGGCTGCGACGAGGGAGGTTGTTCAACATCATCGGAAGAACCATTTAGGGCGTTGTACGCATCACAACAAAATTCACGCATGGTTTTTCCCATACTTTTCCAATCATCATTTTTATTGAAATAAAACTTATCAAAGCATTCGTTTCAGCCTTCTTCAGGATCTTTTGCAGGTTGCGGGATCTTGGCGGCGACTGTAACGGGTGCGGGATCCAAAACATCGGTGTCGTCCGTACCGAATTCGACGGGTGAAGGTGCTTTTTTAAATTTGCACACCTTTAAACCGCCGTATTCACTACTTTTCAAAACCAAACGATATTGATTACCGTATGAATCTTTGCTTTCACTCAACTCGGCATAGTTGACGGCTTGACTAGCTTTTGACATGGTGGGTAGTGCGTCGGCCAACTGTTCCATATCGTCAAAGGATATATCGATACCGGAATCGTAAATGAAGGTATCCTTCGCAGAGTTCACACGACCCACATGTAGTCCACATTTTTTCGTCCATTGCTTCAACGTAACTATTTTTGTTTTACCATTCTCGTATTCTCCGAGAATTTTTTCAATTACGGTTCGTTCACGTTTATAAACACGTAGCGAACTCATTTTTTAGAGGTTGTTGAACGAGCGTGTAGACGTGTGGATATGTGAAAATACAAAATACTTCTTTTAATTATATAACCATAATTTATTCACTAATATGCACATACCATAACCATATATGTACATTTATGGACACCCCTTAAAAAATACATACGTCTCACTAAAAATACTGGTAACGTTTTAAAAAAGTAAATATTGTATTATCTAAGTAATATCCCTTTTCCAGAAAGATTCGACCGATCATCTTAAACGATTTCCTGTCCAGTAAACATTTAAGCATACACTGCAGTAATGTCGACACCCCCGTATCAGTTGTGTGCGTAGTAACATTCAACCTCTTGCCGTTCATGGTAAAACATAAATATTTTGTCCGACGTACACCACCTTCTTTCGATAATGTTCGTAGATATAGGGTATAATATTGTGCCGTCTGTCGTATAGAAATAAATTTATGACATACGTATAGTGTATCGTAATAAAAAATATTCATCGGGTTTTTTTGTAACAAGCAGTGTTTATAATCGTAAAATATATGCATATCGTCATATAAAACCGCCATTTATGACCACGGTATACCTTTTACCATACAAATGGTTAGACAAAACATTCAAGGCCCAAGGTGTATACGATGTTTTATACAACGCAATCATTTTAATCAACACATCTTTTTGACATTCGTTCTGAATAGCGTGTAAAAGATCGTCAAGACTTTTAAAGTCGTCCGATTCGGAAAATAATATGCAAACACTGTTTTTTTCAACAGAATAATATATTTTTTCTTCTCCAGGATAAATCAAGATAGTAGCACGTTCCTCGCTCGTTCCTGTATATTTATAAACTAGACAACACTTAATATTCCCCAACAAACAATCGTCCCATGTGTATATACACCCCAACTGTTTATCGGGTTGATTTATTGTATCTTTATAAAAACAACAGCAATCTTGTAAACCTTCTCCATCACCGAAAATCATATCGTTGATGCCAATAGCACTAACACGTGGCATTAGCGTTTTTCGCCACGATGAATTTGACGCCATAATTGTAATTGTTTAAGACACGGTAAGGTACAAAAGTATTCCTTTTCAGCTAATTTTAATTGTAATACTGATGGTTGTATATACGCGTTACGGTGTATAATTGTTATCATTTCCTGCACGCGTTCCCACACGTATTCGTCGTGCGGTCGAACCATTAAAAAATCAAAATCCCCACGTACATGCACTGCGTATGAACCATAATCACAAATGGCGACCTTCACAATTACACCAAATGGTCCGACCCAATCGACACGATTTATTGTACACAAATATTTACATGTACAAAACGTGTCGTTTAATAATAATACCCTCATTCTTGAATTCCTTCTCACGACAAGATGAATAAACAATGTGGGGGTAATTTTAAAGGTCGACGTCATCAACGTGGTAAAGAAAAAAACAATGGGGGGGTTTTTTAGGTAAATTATTAGGGTTTGGTGGCGGTGGCGGTAGAAAATCTGCCCCCCCACAACCTATTATTGTCAAAAATAACAGTGTAAATAGTAATAGTAATGGTATATCAAGACGGAGTAGTCGTTGGAATAGTCGACCAAAACGTAACCATTATTATGACGATTATGATTATGGATATTACCCACCACCACCACCACGACGAGGACGTAGAAAACAAAGAGGTGGTATTGTTAGCGGCGAATGGGAATTAAGTCGGGCTGCTTCAAAACGACGCTCGACCAGAATAGGTAAACGAAGGTAAATATAGATTTATTACACGCATACATATTTTTTGTTTTACTATTTGTTTATTATTTTTTATTTCTTTTTCTAGATAAAAAAACAAAACACAAAACACAAAATGGTGGTTTATGGTGGCTATTAATTCCTTAACATAGTAGAATTGCATCTGTACTATATTTACAAAATAAAGATTTACACATTAATGTTAATTTATTCTGTTTATATTTTAATACGCCATAATGTCCACATTCTAAGGGCGTACGATTTATAGGTAAATATGCCCATACACAATCTTCTAATAATTCTGCATTTATAGACGTATGTATGTACGTTAACGAATCCAATTCGTGAAAATAAGTACCACAACCGCCGACACCTCGAGGACATTTATAAATTGCACCATCACGTTGACAAAATCGTCCACACGCACATCTAAGACGCGAATCTTTTAATTGCGGTATAGATCGTTTATAGTTACACGTATGTTCGCAGCAAGTATAAAACAATTGCAATTCATCCAATTGTAATTTACCATCACTTTTACAAACATGTTCCACATGCGTCTTTAATGCTTTACCACAATAACACGTTAATTTTCGATTTATATCACGCAAATATCCACGACATTCATCAATAATTTGTACATATTCTTTAAAATAATTATCGTCTACACAAATATTAAACCCACACTATGCGTTCGTACAAACATAACAGTTATTTACTAACACAACGTGCGCCCCGCAAATACACGTAATACAACCGCACACAAGTTTAGAAACACCGTCCCAATTTTTACAATTTTCACACACACATGGTAGGACCATAGTAGACGCCATCACATACTCTAAACAATGTTTCACGTAAAATGTCGTCTTTTACATAATCGTCTTCTCTTATGATACGCTTTTGAATCTCGTCCGTTGACGGGTGCCAAATTTTAAAGCAATCGACCCCGGAACGTATATTATAATAGGGCATCAACCATTCGTCGTAAACCTGTAACGTCGAACAGGGTTTTAATCCTCGTTGTATAGTTAAAACGTATTTTACATCGGGAAATTGTCCCGTTCGTGATGACACCTTATAGCCCACAACATGACCGGAACCTTTAAAATGCCCCCATGCACCTAGTCGTTGTGCAGTATCAACTACAGCATCAGAACTAGAATAATAACACCACCATAATCTTTGTGCATACGTTGATATATTTTGATAACGCTCGTAATACGAACGCGGCGCACAAGTAAACATTTTTTCGATTAATTTGTAATCAAAAATAATATAGATACAACGCCTATAGCTACCACCTCGTTTGCGCTAATGTTAAAATGAATTTTAAACTTCTCTACTTGAAAAAGATCTGCTTTAATTTCAAAACTAAAATTCATTTTTAAAAAAATTACACTTTCACCATATTTTATTAGTACAATTTTGCATACCACAACCATATTTGGTTAAAAACCCCACCTTTGACATCTCAAGCATTATAAAATAAACACGCACGAACTACGAAATCAATCAAAACAAAAAAATGGCTTGCAAATATTGTCCTACAAAATTAATGTGTCCCTGTCCAGCTAAAGGTGAAAAATGCTATACTGCTGCAAAAATGTACAGGCAAAATATTGAAGAACTACACAAAAGACAATATGTACCGATTCAACCGAAACCTGATGACGCTGCCCAACGATTTGTAATCGTCGAAAACAATATGCTGCATCCCTCGACAGCCACAGCAACTAAATTTATACCACCACCACCACCACCACCACCACCACCACCACCACCACCACCACCACCACCACCGCCGCCGCCGCCACAGGAACTTACAGGATTACTTTGGTACAAAATACCCGAAAAGACACTTTTATCCAGTACTCCTGAACAGCGCGAAATACGTAAAAATAAATTTTTAGCTAGACAATTAAAACCGCAAACTGAAAACTTTTATTGTTTTACACATATGGGATTTATAGAACAAGCCTGTTGTCCACGATGTTATAAACTAACTAACGATTATTATCCTAATGATAATAGTATAAAAACAATTACATTTGATTAATATCTTGCAATACGATCGTATATTATTTTTTGTTCATACATATGTAATTGATATCTTTTAAACTCAACTGGTCTTACGACTACGGCAATAAAAGCTGTTTTACTGTTCTGTTCTGTCTGTTCTGTTTCACTTTTTTTCTTCATCGTCGCTCTTGCCTTTATCTGTACATTGTTCATCTTCCTCGTCGCTTGAAAATGCGTACACCCGAAATGTGTCGGTCAACATGTAAACTAAATTTATCAGTCTATCTACACACGCATATCGTTCTAAATCATTACGTATTAAATCATAATAATATGTTGGATGTTGACGCATACTATTCTCCTCATCGGGTTTAAAAAGCATATCACATTTCAAACGTCGAAGTACTTCTTCATAACATTCATTTATTACTGTAAAATGTTGTATAAAAACTCGCGTTAATTGATCACACCAATGATCGTACGTTTTCGCATCCTCACGGTCCAGACATAATTTTCCACGGTCATTTAAATTTTCACGAATAATATACCAGCAAAATTTTGCCAATATATATTCGTACAAAGCAATTTGTTCTTCTACAGTACCCGACCATGATGAAATTGTCACGTCGATCTCTTTCGTTTTTTCCCAATCGCACATTCTCGATTATTATTCGTCACAAGATCACAACCCCACCCCGTAGCATACATCCCCGTTATAAATACAGCTTCAAAATTTGTAACCTGAACCGATTTACAAACTGTAAAATATTCCCAAAATGCTTTAACGTACATCTCGTGACAATAACCAGCTAAAAAATAAGATGAATAATTTTTATTACCACCAATGACGCACATACACGCTGTTTCCCACTCTTCATTTGTTATTTCAAACCCACGCAAGGTTATTTCACCACTGTAAAACACAACCGTCACATACATGCCCGTAAATGGAAATGGAATGTTTTTTTTTATTTTTTATAAAAATACCGTTTATGAATCAAACAATTTCACAAATCAAAATGGCTTTTGCAGAACACGAAACAGCTATCTTACAATTTAATGATACGGCCTGTCAAACAATCGTAAATGGGGAGAAATGTAAACAACAACACTGTGTCCACGCAAATGACACAAATATTTGTGAAATGGGCGATGATGAAAAGTTTTTCAAAACCCGTTATTGTGGTGCCTGCCGCATGGCATTATATCATTACCTACAGCAACAGACCGAAAACAAAAAAGAAATATTGAAGAAAAAAGCCCTCGAAACAGGTACCGATTATTTTATAGCTACGGGTTATTACAATGGAAATGGTCTATGGCAATACGAGCATGTGAATACCGACACAACCTTTTGGTGGCGTGCCGAACCAACTACCGACGATATCATTCGAGAATGCGGTGAAAAATGGCTTGCTACAAAAACAAACTCACCACAAACTATGAAATGTCATCAAACATTGATGGAGAATTTTCTTACATAGATTTAGTAGCGCGTGATGAACATAACCGTCTTTTGTATCGCTTTTTAGCTATTTGCTTTATGCGATAATAATAATAAATATTCACGCCTGTTGTAGATTCCAAATCGTGACGCAAATCTTCAAATTGTTTTGATTTTTCAATATCTCTTTTCCAAAATGTTGGTGCAGTACTACACGATAACATTCGCGGCATCATGTACCCCTCGCTAGGCACTTGCACTAAATCTACAACACAACGTTCAATCTGTAATACCAGCAATTTATAAAGAATTTGATCTTTAGCAATGTGGTCGGGAATTATACCCTCTACAATTAACGTGTGGATAAGGTCTTTTAATTTCCAACCATTTTTATAGCGTGCACCTTTTTGTAAAAACCAATCTTTTACAGCACTCTCAAAAAAATTAGACATCGTTTCGTGAACGGCATGAAAGCTAAAATGAAAAAATACACTTACATTTAACTTATCAATCCACAAAATTATCATTTTTTATTTCCTCTTCTGCAAAATCATAAATATTGGTATAAAAATCATTCGCACCATTTTGTATATAATCCGTGTATAGCGCGTACAACATAATCATTTTTTCACGTGTCGTATACGTATTTTCTTCAACATAATATACCAAATTATCAAAATTATAAAATGCACACAAATCATCCATATATTCGTCTGCGTACATAAACGCAAAATCAAGCATCATTTTAGGACCCTTTTCTAACCACACTTCCTGTGTTATTAATTCATCAGAAGGCATTTTTTTTCTCATCAAATACATCATTATATGATGTAATAAATCTTCTTGCATGAGTCGATCATTTCTCCCCGCCCATAAATGAGGTATATATTCAAAATTTTCATTTACAAATTTTTCAGTAATTATTTTATCTAAACGCTTAAAATACCCGCTCATGATTTCACCTATACTTGTACGCGTATACTAACTTCGTCTCCAGGACAAACACTATTTTTATTTGTCGTGCTGGCGTAGTTAACATATACGTATAAAACACACAAAACAATGGGGACCGTATTATGCGACGATACTATATACACCTGCAATAAAACCGTTTGGCTGGATGATAACTATCTAGAATCTTTCACGATTAGCGTCCATCGACACGAAGAGCAACCCCGTCTTCATCGTATAGATCTTCGATGGACTCATTCAAGAATTATTTCAAGAATACATGAATTATGGGGCGATTGGCTTCACATAACATCCGTGCCTCGTGAAATACAAATGTTGACATTCGTATGCGAATTTTTTTATTTTGTCAAATCACTAAAACCAGCACGATTTATAGATGTTAAAATGCAAATCTACAAACATTTCGCCTCCCGGGGATATTTATTACATAAATCTATTTTTAAAATGGCCATCCACATACTTTGTGTTCCTCGCACATACTTGGATCCCTGCATACAAGGATACCGCTGTAAAATTACGCAATTAAGGTTAGCGTGTATTTTATCAAGTTTGACAAATGAATCTGGATTTTCCGGATTTATTTTGTTAAACTTGTTAAACTAACTCGTAACTTTTACCTTGGCTCTGTTTGAAAGCTAATTTTTACAATTCGCTTTCACAGAACTAACCTAAAAGCATTATGAAATATGCTAATTTTAAATACATATATATTTTAGTAATTGATTCACAAGTGAAAATATGGTTTGAAAATCATCAAATCTTCAACGAAAACAACGACACGACCCCCAACAGCGGCGAATATTGTGATATTTGTGGTGCACAACCCTATGGTATTGTAGAATGCGATGAAAAAATCCATCATGAACAGCGTCAAATTAAAAATTGCTTAAGTTTATAATGTCAATAAAATTTTTGTTAATCCCCGCCTGTCTTTTATTACATTACACACACATATCAAATATCACACTACTCTATATATATTACGCTTTTCATACACAACTCGCAATTGACCCAATCACCACAATGGAAAACCAGCTTTGACTTTGCTTTTTACGATACACGAATTTTTAAACGCTCTTAACGGAGCACCAATTAAATCCGACTACGATTTATACAGTTATTTATTACCTGTTGTAATCGTCGTTTGAATTTAATGAAAAGATATTTAATCATACTGATGTTGAAACTATGGTTTATTTCACAATGAATCGGCGTATGTGCGTGGTTGGAAATACCGGCGGAGCTCGTGTAAACCCTCGCAAAATAATACCCTGGGTAAAACGAACCGTACAAGGTTCGGCAATTCAGCGGGGTGGTGATTTTTTTGGTAGTGTAATCAAATTATCGGGTGTCGGGAAAGTTAAAAGAAGAAAACGGAAAAGGCAACACGGTGGTCTCTTGGGTTTTGCACTGGATCACTATGCATCAAAACATACAAAATATAAAAGTCAAAACCCGTACGCAAAACGGAAGGGGAAATAAAAAACCAAATTTGTAAAAATAAAATTTTATTTGTGTATTAAATTATTTATACATGACACAAGTATACCCAGACTAATCGTTGCCACGGTTGTTGTTGTATGTCTTACAAACCACCCAACAATATCTCTACTACTACTACTACTATTAAAATGTACAATAACATTCTTCCATCCGCCTTTAGACTGTATCCATAAACCCGTTTTATCCACAATAAAACATACTGTTAAATCCACAATTTGATCCGATTTATCTTCCAAATACTGCGAAACCTTCACACTAAAACCTAGTAGCGCAATAATACGACCCCAATTTATTAATCCATCTTCGAAAATATTCTCTGCAACACCGTTGAACACTTTTTCAACATTATGAACCGTACAACCCACTTTTGAACAAATCACATTATACATATCGTGTTTGTTTAATATCTCACGGGTTAACTCGTACACTTTCTTGGCCTCTCGCGATGAAATTTTATCATTTTTTCGATTTAAAAATGAATAAATAACATGTTTCACAATTGTAGTGGTATTTTGTTAGCAATTGATTCATTTTGTTCATTTGTCAACATCCCGTGTCTTGTAAATCCTTCCACGCATCGCTTTTGTAATTTTATACCCTTCTTACAGGTGACAATTAAGTACACGTCGTGTACTGTGTGTAATTGTTAGATTTAAAATTCAAACGATCACACACAGTCACGTCGCCGTACTCTATTTTTTATAAATTTAACCAAAATCTGCAAACCTCGTTGTATAAAGCCAATGAAATTTGCAGACTTGGGATAAATGTTATAAAAATGTGGGCATAGTCAGGTTGTCCCATATTCGTAGTCATCGCATTATTTATAAATTTAACCTAAATCTGCAAACCCATTGTACAAAGCAAAGAAATTTGCAGGATTTAGAATGAATGTTATAAAAATGTTGGCATAGTTAAATTGCCCCATATTCGTAATCGTTCAATATTTTCTTCTTTTTATTTATGATACCATTTATTTCAAACAATTTTTTATTTATATCAACAATTGCCAGCCTGATTAAACATTCTCCACACGAACAATCACATGTACACTTTTGCAACACACAACTTTCGCATTCACAATCGCATTTACATTTATACTTTTCCCACGGTATTATTTTATCTTTTACAAATATACCCGTTGCCATAATCAAATTGTTTTAGCAAAATTTACTACGATCGTGTAACTATATAACCCACCTAATTCATTAATATGCGCATGCCATAACCTTATATGTACATGTATATTTACATTTTTTTATAATTAATACATTTTTTTATTTCACGCAGCAATTGTTTTTTTTTCATCCAACTCATGATTTATTTGCAGCAATTCTTTTTTTTTGTTCTTTAATTCTTGATTTATTTTGAACAATTTTTCTTTATCTTGATTGTCTGTTGCAATTTCATTTGCAATTTGGCATAGTTGACACCGACAATCACATTCACATATTTTGAAAACACACGCGCAAAAAAACTCGTCACATGTACACCCTGTGCAAGCACATTTGCAGTGATCTTTTGTCCACGGAATTACCTTGTTCCCTACGCCGGCCATTATTGTTACTGTCTTACGACGAATCTTGTTGCTTGTTTTACCATTTCTCTTATACAGTACTTATAAGCGTGAGTTGAAATTACACACCTTCTACATCCTTTTTCTTGCGTTAATTGTACTTCGATTATATTATCAACTTTACGTACCAGCTCACAAGCGGGGCAATCGCAATTACATCGACATTTTTGCCCTTGATATTCATTGTTACACACACATGAACAGCAATTTGTGGATGCCATAATGACCGTCAGCCTTAATGTGAACTAATATAATTCGTTTTTTGCTATTTAAAAAATATGAAAATTTTTAGTATTTATTAGGAAAGGAAAAGAAGACGTCTGGTAATTGTTACATGTTCAAACACTGCAGCTAGTTGATTTATTTAACGGATGCTGTGTTTGAAAATGTCACACTTTGCTATTTAACACCAGTAACACCAACCCTGTTCACTACAATTACATTGTCGTATTTTTTCGTATTTTTTTATATTTTTTTTATTTTCTTGCTTTGCATCTAGTTTACAAATTATTATAAATAACTTGCAATTGCAATTACATCGGCATTTTTGGTCGTAAAATTGCTGTTCACAATTACAAACACATTCATTAACCTCCATTGCAAATTTACCCAGAATCATCCCCGCGCGGACCCCCTTATACCGTCCGGCGTAACACGACACCGCACACCTGTCAATCATTCGATCCAACAACGTCACGTGACGCCGGGCATAAGTTTGGCGGCAACTTTAAAAATCACTCATTCCGGTCGACCACGGCTTCGGACACACATCCGGTTATATGCTCTCTCAGCAAAGGGCGTGACGTCACTACACAACACGCCGACCGAGCAATACAAAAACACACTTTTGGGGGACTAGCAACCACCCCCAAAACCTCCCCCGTCCGCAGACACTATTTTTCAACTATTTTTGCCGACGTCAGCACTTTTTCGTAATACTAATATATAATAAACACAAAAAATTCCCACACACCACCAAAAAAAAGTCGTTTTGCAATAGTCTACTACTACTATTAGTGAACAGCCCGAAAACAGTTTTATTTCTGAAATTTAATTGAAATGTTATTCGGATATTTTGGTTTGTTCATTAAATATTTATACTAAAACAATTATTCGCCTCAGGCTCAGTGAATAAGGTGAATATTCACCAAGACGTCGACTCGATGGTTATTCTCCGCTAATGACTTCGCCTACGGCGAATAATTGTTAATTGATTAATGTACCCTTTAGAGCAGGGTGGCGCAGTGGAAGCGTGCTGGGCCCATAACCCAGAGGTCAATGGATCGAGACCCTTTCCTGCTATTATTTTTACGCCCAAACCTGCTTCATTCCGAAACAAAAAGTTTGGAAAATAATAACACCGTTAACATGACTTGCTCTCGTGGCCCAGTCGGTTAGTGCGTCGTACTTATAAGCAGTACTGAAGTATATGCGAAGGTCGAGGGTTCGATCCCCTCCGGCAGCAAGTTTTTAGCAATTTTTTTTTGACCAGTATTTGGAATCATTTACTGTCGATGCAATGGAAGTTTCGATAAAATATTGCATGAATTAGTTTCTTCAAGTAGATCAATTGATACGAATTCAAATTTCTTTTTTCTTCCTTCGCGTTTCTTATTGGTCAATCGCTTCTGAAACGAAATCTAATTGGCTAATCTAAAAGTAACGGCAAGTTGAATTGATCAACTTGGGAAGCAAGTTTTTAACCATTTTTCCCTAACCATTATTTGGAAACGTTTGATGAAACAATAGCTTAAAATCTTCGATTTCGAGTCCGGAATTCAGAAAATAACAACTGGCAGCGGTGCGATTCGAACCCACGTCATCGAAATGACTGGTGCCTAAAACCAGCGCTTTAGACGACTCGCCCACGCTACCATATGGGATGCTGAACGACATTTTTTCAACAATAAGTTTCCAGAAATCTTCAAATAACCCGGGAACTTTAACCTGGAGTGGAGAAATTCATTAATGAGACGTCAAACATCAAATGGTTCTGTGGTGTAATGGTTAGCACTTTGGACTCTGAATCCAAGGATCCGAGTTCGAGTCTCGGCAAAACCTCAAGTCTAACATTATTTTTGTTTCCATAACGTTGTTTCGGTGTACTCCATTGTTCCATATGGTTTCTTCTTCGCCGAAGATAGTACATCCGTAATGACCCTTCTCCAATAAGCCCTTTTTCACAAGATGGAATTGCCAAGGAAACTCTAGGCATCAATTCATTTCTATCGGCTGCCTTCGGGAATTTTAGTCATATGCCTTCGTATAAAATCTGCAACAAATATATCTTATTTTTCCTGAAAGCGTAATTATATAACTTGTCGGTGACATGCGCTGTGAGAAAGAAAAAGAGGTAAGTTTTCTCTCTGCCAAACTATCGCTAATTCGTATGCGTTGTAAATTATTCTCATTGTTATTTAATTTCCCAAAGGTAAAGCAGGATTCAGGAGGGACCGATATCAATATACACAATTAGTATACATTTTGCAACTCAAATGAGCTTTCGCGCATTCTCATTGGCTTGTTCAATAGTAAATCTGAGGCAGAATTTACTAGCAGACTAGTAAATAATCCTTTTCACAAAAGAATGATTCGACAAATTTTGTTTCGAAGTCTACACAATATTGAAAAAATCGTCCCAGAAAACGAAAAAACGAAAAAATGTTGTGTTTACAGTATAACTTGAAAGGTAGAATTTCTTTATTATTTTTCTGTGTCAAACATATTCACGGATAATTTAAAACTTATTTAAAACTCCGAAACATTCGCTTCAAACAATTAGCAAAATCTCTTCCGGATGTTGGACGTACTATTCTTTTTTAAACAATTTTGTTTTGCGTCCTATAAATTTCCAATTTGTATTTTCTACGATACTATTTCTTTTGATATGTCATGTTTCCATTGTGCTGTATGGAGTTCTGACCGCTGTACTGTGTTTTCGAAACTTCTAAAGTAAAAAGTGTTATTATCAACTTTATTTCGAACGATAAAGTTTTACATTTCATTTTACCAAATTCCTCAGCCATTTCCCGAAGGAATTAATGCTAAACACAAACTACTTTTAATTCTTTCAATTAATGCAAGAAACCCTGCAATACTATTAGTGAACAGCCCGAAAACAGTTTTATTTCTGAAATTTAATTGAAATGTTATTCGGATATTTTGTTTTGTTCATTAAATATTTATACTAAAACAATTATTCGCCTCAGGCTCAGTGAATAAGGTGAATATTCACCAAGACGTCGACTGGATGGTTATTCTCCGCTAATAACTTCGCCTACGGCGAATAATTGTTAATTGATTAATGTACCCTGTAGAGCAGGGTGGCGCAGTGGAAGCGTGCTGGGCCCATAACCCAGAGGTCAATGGATCGAGACCATTTCCTGCTATTATTTTTACGACCAAACCTGCTTCATTCCGAAACAAAAAGTTTGGAAAATAATAACACCGTTAACATGACTTGCTCCCGTGGCCCAGTCGGTTAGTGCGTCGTACTTATAAGCAGTACTGAAGTATATGCGAAGGTCGAGGGTTCGATCCCCTCCGGGAGCAAGTTTTTAGCAATTTTTCCCTAACCAGTATTTGGAATCATTTACTGTCGATGCAATGGAAGTTTGGATGAAATATTGCATGAATTAGTTTCCTCAAGTAGATCAATTCATACGAATTCAAATTTCTTCTTTCTTCCTCCGCGTTTCTTATTGGTCAATCGGTTCTGAAACGAAATCTAATAAATTAATCTAAAAGTAACGGCAAGTTGAATTGATCAACTTGGGAAGCAAGTTTTTAACCATTTTTCTCTAACCATTATTT